TAATAATAATAATAATAATAATAATAATAATAATAATAATAATAATATATTATTACAGCGAGTCTAAAATCAGAATAACGACAATATTACAGTCTCAAACGAAATATACAGCGGCAGCAGCGGAAAACGAAAACCGCACGTGCCGTTCGCGCGCAGCACATTTTGTTGTATAAAATTACAACGATAAAAATAAGTAAAAATTGTAAAAAAAAAAAAAAATGAAAATGAAAATAATGTTACAAAAATATTAGACAGTACAGTTGCGACGGTAAAACATCGCGATATTAATTTCCAACCGACGCTCAAGTGGGCGTGGAATACCAGTTGTGATGATGGTTCTTCAACGATTCGGCGGCGTACACCGATGACGGCGTTGGCGGCGGTGGCGGCCCGGTGGCCATGGTCGACTTGGCGGCCGCGGACGGATGGTACAGATGGAAACCGGCGGCCGAGTGATAGAACGCTGCTGCGGCGGCCGCGGCGGCCGCGGACGACTGGTCGTAGTGGTCAAGCGTCACGGTCGGCGGCGGCGGCGCGGGGTTGTACGGTTGCGGTTTCAGCGGCAGCGAGGGCGGCGCGGCGGACGACGTCACCTCGGCATGATGACCGTACTGGTGCTGTTGTCGCATCAGCAGCGCGTCCGCGGCCGTCGGCGGTGCCAGCGACGCCGGTGCCGGTGGCGGCTGCGATCCGTACAGGTCGTACGGCTGCTGCTGTTGCTGTTGCTGCTGTTGCTGTTGCTGGTTCTGATGCTGTTGCTGGTGCTGGTGCTTGTCGCGCGGCGACACAGATGACGGCGGCGTCATGGCCGTGTGGTACTCCGCGTAGCCGTACGGCGGCGGCACCGCCAGACCGCCACCGAATTCGTTCTTCTGCAGCGGCCCGAACTGCTGTTCGCTGTAGCCACCCTCGCTGCCCGGCGGCGTTGGCAACGTGCTCATGTCGCCCGCGTAATAAGCGGCCGTGCCGCCGATGCCGGACCCGCCGCCTGGTGATCTGGGCGCGTGCACGTTGGCCCGAATGACGGACTCGCGGTTCGCGTAGATCTGCCGGAGCAGCGCGGACGCCGGCAACGTGGCCGGCGGTCCGCCCGTCGATTGTTGGTGATGCGACTGTTGATGATGAAGTTGGTGATGGTGATGGGGCGGCCCACTGGGATGATGGTGGTGCTGGAGCTGAACGTGCTGCTGCTGTTGCTGCTGGTGCTGTTGCTGCTGTTGTTGCTGCTGCGGGTGATGCGGGTGATGCGCGTGATGGCCACCCAAGTGGTGCGCGCCGATCCACTGTATCGTGCTTTTTTGCTGTTGCTGTTTGAGCAGCGCGTCCGTGCTGAAGTCTGTCGGTTGATGCGTTGCGGCGGTGGCCGTCGCCGACGTCTTGTCCGCGGCCGGTGGCAGATGCTTGGACATGGCGTGCTCGAGTTCCTTGACCGCGTTCGGGTCGGTCGCGGGCCTCTTGTCGCCACCGGTTTTCGGCGGACTCGGCGGCAACGTGGACTGACATGACGTGGACGCAGGACTGAGGCTGGCGAAATGTTGCTTCCGGCTCACCGCGTCCTCTTCCGAACTACTGCAGCAGCTGTTCTCGTCCCGCGCGGGAAGTAGTTCCGCTATCTTCCGTTTGTGCGCTTTCCGCTTATTGCTTCCCGATTTCTTCGGCTGCGTCCCAACTATGTTGTTGCCGTTGACGCTGCTGCCGTTGTTGTTGTTGTTGTTGTTGTTGTTGTTTAACTGAAACGAGTGCAACGTTCGAGTTAATGAACGGTTTTATATATTTTATCACCGTCAAAATGCACGAGCAGTGTTCGTGACGACGGTAACAGGAGGGTGGTGTACAACGACGACAATACGAAAGCATGAAAATATTACACCCAACACTAGTCGACTAGTCGGCTGGTGTCGAGCGATAGCGTACCGATTTCCGAAAACTCGACAGATTTGTCATAAACTATACCATTTTTTTTTTTTTTTTTTTAATCGAGCTATTCAATGATTTATTTACTGTAACGAAGTTGTGTTCATTTTTTGCATTTCCATTTAACGATCAATTTTATTTGATTTTATTTCAACGCGTCGATTGAACTTTTACTCATGATACGATATGTCCCGTCGACACAGTGCAGGGTGAAAAATAGTATCGCAAATGGAACTCACTTGTAGGCGTTCGTTTGTCGTATTGTTCAGTTGAGTAATATCCACGTGGTTTCTGCCTCTTGTCGGATCACCGTTCCCATCTGCTGACTGTCCATCATCTAAGTCAGCTGGCGTCAAGTGATCTCTTCTAGGGTTTCCTCCTCGTCCATCTGAAAATAGCCAATCAATGTTATACATCAGTGTAAAGCACGGCCTTTACATTGGTTTTTTTGATGAGCCTCCTCAGGCACCGCTCACCGGTAACCACATGACTTACCTCCTCCGTCGCCATCGGGAGAACCGTTTTCCGGGTCGTTGCCACCCGTTTCTTCTCTTTTCACCGCCCTCTGCCTAATGTGTTCTTCCATTTGGCAACAATCCATTATCAAATTGTCGTATTCCGTGGCACTGTAATCAATATATTATGTACATATATGTATGTCCATGTACATATACAGATATAAATTTAATTTATACACTTCGCGATCAATATTCCGCAGAGGTTCGTATAATGTACGCATATTTTTTTATTTTTATTTTTTTTTATCTTTTTTTATAGCTAGTGAATGTTCTGAATACAAAACGAGAGGACACGCCTAATTGATGTGGGGTGAAAATAAAATATAAACTTACCTGACCACGTAGTTGACACAAATGATGTTCTGTTCTTCGGCGTTTTTCGAGTTACACACGACCGTACCGCACGTCTGCATCCAAGTGTAACCGCCATTTTTGTTCATCACTCTATAGTAGTGCGTCATCATTTGTCCTTTGTTGATAACTGAAATTGATCATTTTCATTTTATTGGTATTAAGTAGTTTTAACCCATTTCATTTATATTATTTATAATGTTTATACCAGACATATACCTATATTATACTGCATATTATTATTATAATTATTTAAATACGATAAACTGTTAACGTGGTCTGTAGTAAAAATTGTAACAAATCAATGAAAATTATTTCATCAATATAATTAACGAATATATTTTAAAAACGATTAATTATTTGAAATGACCAAATAACACCCATATTTAAATATTTGAGCATTGACATTAGAAATACTATATTTGAGGTAGTTTTCAGACTTTACATAACATAAATTGATAATATTAGTTAACCGATTAAGTACAGGTTTAATAATATTAGTTTCGGGGAGGCTATTAAGAACAGGGTAGCAATTATGAAAATATTAAATCTGCTCGAAAAACATGAATCTTAAAATATGGCATGAAAAAACGTCACTATATTTGTGTTATTACATCAGACGAACAAGTATGAAGAATATCATAGAATGATAAAGAAGGATGATAAATCCGGAGTATTATAGTTTGTGGAGTTAATGAAACTCATTTAAATCTGCGCACACTCTAAAGAGCTCTGTGGTCGTTTTATAAGAAATCCAAAGCACGACATTTTTACAAATAACAACGAAGGCGTAAACGTAAATGAACGTCGAAGGCCCGGATGATGATAGGTATATTAATTGTAACAGTAACATCGGTCGTATCAGGGTACAGGAAAAAAATGTAAGAATTACATAGCCACGTAAAAACACAATTGAAAATATATGACAGAGTGGTATTTATAGTCATACGTATGTAAATAAATTGATCGAGAGAGTTAATGCACTTAAATTTCCCTACCGGCACAACATTTTGAGAAAAATTTGCATATAAAAGCTTTCTATCCGTGAGTTGAGAATGTCACTAGTTTAATTGCATTATTAATAAAGTACTAATAAACTAAATTCAATTTGTTTAACAGTATATAAATATATTTTTATGAATGCAAGCACAAATCATTAAGTTGTTGACTTATAGCCGGTTGATCGTTCTTAAATTTAAAAACAAAAATTTAAATTAAATATATCCATAGATTGGTAAGTATGCAAACGTTATGCATGCATACATCATATTCTCAATATCGAAGTATATGAACGAATGGCTTTATATGAAATGTATGTACAGACACATAACGAATAATTTATTTCTAACATCCGATTTTTATTATTGTTCGAAAGCCACTTGCACGCGACTCGTATGGCATATTTACGTCCGTTTCGGGATGCGGCGGCGCTATAATTTAAGTATTCAAGTCATTCAACTTTACGGCGATGAAATGGACATTGCTTTTTTTTTTTCTTCCCCTCCCCCCTACCCCGGATGATTGCGTACAGCGTACACATTCATTAGGTTTCTCTTTTCCCCCCGTCTGACGCAGTGGTTATTTTCAGGCGTACCGCGGTCGCGCGCGCATAAAAGGACGACCGAAATGTGTACACAATGCGTGGTGTATAAAATACGTCCCTCTACAGATTTGTCACATGGCGTGCGTACGCACTATAATGTATACATACAGATACAAACACATGCAGAGGTACTTCTGTTGAAATATGCCGGACAGGTATCGCACCGGAAGCTCCGCCTTACCCCTCTCTCGGACTGGCCGTTAACTGTGACCACGGTAGATGTTATCGTCGTCCACCAACAAATACTATACAATGTGCCACAGAACCATCGTTGTCTTACGCACGTATAACATAAGCATGTGTATAATTCGTACGATATATAATTCGGTGAAAACGAATACTCGGTGCGTATGACTGCGTTCTGAATACTGATTACACACTCTTCCGGTCGTTATTCAATTACGGTTGTGTATATAGTAACGATGATAAAAATAATAATAACAATAATAAATGGCCGCCATTTGTGTTCGTCAACATAATAAAATATTGTACGTACTCGCACAGCAGTTGTTGTCACCAACCGACCAACCACCCATAAACCAGCCCGTATGCTTTATCTATTCTTATCAGCACGCGTACATTATATATTATGTATTGCATTGTTCAAAAATGGTAATGACTATACGCGATGCAAAGTTGTGGTTCGTGTACGTTGCAAGTTGTATTATTGTAACAGGTACTTACGGTCTAGGTGACATTTTCGGAGTTTCCCCACGTCTTCGCCGTGACATAGGGTGTACATGTTCATGCCGGTCAGTTCGTCAGCCGTATAATCTAATATCTCCGCCACCCTGTGGTCGTAACAGTAAATTATTATTATACATTTGCGGACAATAAAGTGTTAATACGTATTAATGCGATATAATATTGTAGCAGCAAAAGCTTTTACTCGTGGCTACGAATCTACACTTGTAGGTATAATTTTATGATAGTAACTGTTGAGAATGTTTTGAACTTGTATAAATTTATCAACATTTATAAAAATTTCTCTGGAATTTGAAATTAAAGTGGAAAATAATACTTTCCTATAGGTTATAGATCAAATTAAAAGTGTTACTAATTTTATAGTTTTTCATACGTATTATGTTCTATTAAATTCAGATTAACTATGGTATAATTTTGTTATTATTCTTAAAATAACATAATATTTCACTGCCCATTGTTTAATTTGTCGTGAAAAAATTTCTAAATAAATAAAATTAATGTTATAATTTATTTTATTTTAAGTTCAAATAACTCATAAATAACACCACCATAATGCTGAAAATAATATAATATCTCAACTAAGATAATTACCTTGGTTCGCAATGAGCTATTCGAAAGTCGAAGAATAGTCTAGTGACGAACATATCGGTTTCCAGTCGGATTTCGTGCACACTGGGCGGCGGTAGAGCGATGGCCAGTGACACAGCTCCCAAGAGCGGTGGTGCGCATTTTCGATTATGCGAAAACGTGTATTGTGGCCTCAGTCTGCAAATCAATAGCACCACCTGCACAGGACAAAATTATAGAACCGTGAGTCTTGTGAAAAAAAAAGAAAAAAAAATCATTTCCGACCAAATTAAAAACTGTAATGGTTGTTTATATTATACATTATAAGATTGTCGACAAGTTTTTATCATCTTCATCAAATTCTATGATATATATACACATCGTATGACTGTTAGTTGCGTGTGAAAAAAAAACAGTGGTTAGTGCGACATCAACAGTTTTGACACGTAAATAACATAAAAAAGAATATATAAAACAACCTCTATGCACCAGAGGCGTTCTTTTCTGGTATACTCATCACGATCGCTGGATATGATTTGTACATCCTGACAACAGCCATGAGTCGGCTGGCTACTTCAGTCATTCAATTTTCATTTTTAGGATAGGTTTACCTTTCTATGTAGTGTGTATGATACACGTATATGAGTACCTAAACTATATAAACGTTTAATGGGTAATGTTCAGGTGCTTATACTAGGTTTTTTTTTGTAGACACTTCCGACTAGAAATTGTTTTTTTCAAGTCTATGTGATTCGAATTTCGTATATCGGTTGAATACTAAGTTTTATCTGTTTTTTGTTTCTGGTTTAGAATGCATCAAATAGCTTACAAAGAATTGAAATAAAAAGATCAAACGCGTGACTCGTACAATTATTGTTATTAAATTATTTTCTTTTGTTCTTTCAATGCAAACTTATCGAGAATATATATATTTAGAATTAAACGTTCACGGGTCTATGGAAACTTAATTAATTAGGCTTATTAAGAATAGACGTCGAAAACGATCAAAATTATTCGTCCATGAAACCCAATCCATTCACATACACATATCTATCTTGCTGTTCAATTGAAAAAAAAATCATTAGGACTTTTCACGTCCACATAATATGAGGACCCAAGTATAATTATCCATGGTTATTTAACCCCATCTGGTTATTATTAGGTTCATCGGAAATCGACGAGAAATGAAGTTAAAAAAATTACTTAATGTACTGAAATTATCTACCCAGTTATAATTCAGAGATGTATTTTCGACTACATGTCGATATAATTAAATATTTTTTTTTTGTGTATTTCGTATTTTACTATTTTATTAAATTAAAATAACATTTATGTAATATCACTTTTGTTTGACTATAAAAATTTATTAACGATACTAAAGTTAATTTTACTGTCATTTCAATATACATTACTTTCTCTTCACTATTGTCACCATACATTTAAACACGCATGTATATATATATATATATACTCATTACAATATATTTATATGAACAGTGGTCAACTCTGTGGTGATGGGTTGCTAAAGTATGAAATTTCTATACGCACCATCGACCATTAGTTTATATTATTATTATGTTACATTGTTACGTACCTATATATTTTACTGCACAGTTCAAAATCGACAGAATTTCTCTAACGACGAATACTCTAGTGTAAATAAAAATAAATGTTCACAAAAGTATTCGATCGCTTAATTGTGTTTCTTCGGACCTCTATACATCTTCACTCGTTGATAAAATTACAGGAGTTATATCGAAAACGCTTCGGGTGCTCAAGGATATATATCCAATTAAAATGGTACGAGTATTTCGAACAAAAGTATACTAATTTTTAGTGGTTTCAATAAATCATCATTTGGGGTTGAATTTTCCTTCAACCCTTGTATTTCCTTAGCATTTATTTCGTATCCCCTTGTTTCATTGGGTCAAAGCAATGACGTTATATGTATGATTATCATCGACTTGTATAAAAGTATTGGTGTTTTGTAAATAAATAATATTATTTTATAAAATGCTGGACGTAATACATTTTCTTTTCGACTTAGTGAAGTTTACAATAAAAAAAAAAAACATTTTATAAAATATTATCTAGGAATAGGTAAAATGAATTCAATTATTAGATGTTAATTTCAATGGTGACTTGTCGGGATTATTATTGTCAAACAATAGTATGACGCACTCGTTCGCGGTCTTATAAAGCTATATATAATCACACAATCATCAACCCTTTACTTCAATTTTGGTTTGAAAATTACACATCTCCCCTCAAATAATATGGGCATTCATTTATTACTAAGAAAATGGGATGAAAATGGATAATTCTACACCCTAGACGGAAATAATAATATCGGTACTAGAAATATATAATATGTACAGCGTGGACTCACCCTATATCCGGAGGATTTGAAATGGCAACCACGTTTAGTTAATGTAGACTTCATTCTAATGCAAAACGCTCTGTCCAAGCCTTTATAAGCATTTGTGCTGGACAGCGACATCACAGATGAAACTGAAAACATTAAATAGTATAAAATAATTATTGTTCTGTCAACTGTACATTTTTCATATTACGAGTACCTATCACAAGTTAACTGATATATTGTTAAAATTGACTTCTTAAGGATTTGTGGTCGAGTAAAAAATCTAATCCAATCTAATATTTATTTTATAATAAGTATATTGAGTATAATTAATATCATTGTATCTTTTTTTGATAATTTAAAAATAAGGAATAAAATAAAACATAATTTGTTATATTTATTGTAAAAAAAAAATTGTTTTGATGATTGTGCTGGACATAATATTATAATATTATGTTGCACTGCTATGGAACACAACATTACGATTTTGTGTTCGAGAAGTGAAGTCACGATCATTTGCGGCTAGACTAATGATCCGTGCTTCCCCATATATTGGGAGAACCCATACGATATTATAATGTTCCAAACAATAAGCACATAATCGGCGGTCAGTGTGTGAAAAACGATTATATTTTCGTTTTCCTTGAACATAAATTGCTTCAACGAATTTATAGGTTTACAGTCAAAAATAATGTTGACAGAGTACAAAAATTATTTTGATGTTCTTTTTTTTTTTTTTTTTTTTTTTTTTAATTGAACTCTCGATAAGAAACTAAGATTTTTTGAATCTGTGTAGGGTTTAAAAATCATAGCCCCTCGCGTCAATTTGTAAAAACACTCCGTCACGCACTACTGGAGCAATAGCGCGTTGCAACTAAAAAGGATCGAACTAGTTTTTCCCTCGGACTAGATGTATTTTGTTTTATTTTTTTTTTTTCCATTTTTTAGTTATAAATTGGATTGCGTTTCGGTGTTCTATACGGCGTGACGAGGCGATAAAAAAAATATAAAAAAAAAACACTCAGGGTGAGCATGTGATGGCTAATCACGTGAGACGCGGTGGAGTGTGGCCTACACGCACGATGTCCACAGCGGGAGGGATGAAAACTCACCGTCGGGATTCGCCGTGCCCACGTTGGAACTTCCTTCTTCGGAGCCGGCGCTGCTGGGCGACGGTGATGCCATGCCCTGGCCCTGAGTCAGTCCCAGACCTAGTTGCTCGGCTAGTTCGGAATGGTCGGCCTGGTGAATGTAGTCGAACACACTACTACCGGTCATCTCTACCTGGAAGCGGTACATGTACAATTTTAAAAGTAAAGTAATGGTCGAGCGGCGTTTTTGAAACCTCTTGAGATATTGGTTGTGCACACGTTACGAGGGGAATTAAACTATTCGGACTTAGTGAAAAATCTTCCCCGGGTCGTCCATCATTGTTACCATCCCGTAACGTTAATTTAGTCTATACAGGGCTGTGCGTATGGTTTACAAACACTCCCCCCTACGGTCTAGGAAAGGGGGGATTGCTACCGGGGTTTAAAGGTTGCGCGGGCGGGATCCGGCTTCGCTCGAATTCGACTCACGTACACTTGAGCCGTGCGAGCGTGTTCCTCATTCGTAATTCTGAACCGTACTCAGCTCTTTCTCTCTCTTTTTCTCTCTCTCTCTCTCTTGCTCACTCTCTGCATCTCGCGCCCGTCTGACACAATCAATAGCTATGCTGCAAAGGCCGGTATGGGGGAGACCCAGGGTTTTTGCGCTTTTGACGTGGCCTTTTCACATTACTATAGCGTATAGGGATGGCTTCTAGTACTGACGATTGTTTCCACATCACTTTTTACCGAACAAACCGAATAACGTATACGACGTTATTAAATAATATATACAACGGCGCGTATTATATTTATACCTACAATTAGAATGATAAAAGCAACTTTTAAATCGAAATGATAATTTTTAGGAAAAACATAGTATACTACATAAAATAATCGAAAAATATAGAAAAATTTAAAAACAGTTTTTGAAAACGCTCATAATATATTCATTTATAGGACGTATAAATGAATAAGCATCATGTACATTTTTAATTAAAATAGGCACAATAGAAAATGTATTTCTTGACATAATAAGTTAATTTACGTTTTCTCTCATTTAAATGTTCCATATTTAGAAAACCCCATTCTTTGTACTCTCCATCATTAACGTTTCTCAACATCGAAACACTTAAACAATTAAGATTAGATTTGTATTTTTCTTATAAACTCTTTACAGGACTTATTGACTGTCCTGAGTTTCTAAGTTGTTTCTCCTTCCATACTACATCTCGTAACTCCTGGTCAAAATACACTTTTTATCTTAACACAGAAGTAACTAATAACGCAAGAAATACTCCCCATCATAGAATTATGAAAACAAGTAACAAATTAAATATTGATGTTCATCATATCACCAAACTTCAACTCATTCAAGTTATATTGTAATTTATTACTTGTTAATTCATAGCTATAAGTATATTATATTATAATTTATATTGTACATCATTGTTTTTATTCTCTTTCTTTATTCACTTTTTGTTTATGATTATTAACGAACGATTGTTATTATTATTAATATTTATGTAATTAGGCTTGGGCCCGTATAAAATTTAAATAAATAAATAATATTATACTTATTTTTTTTTTGCTTCATTTATTTACCAGGAGCATTTTATCTTCATAAATATATATATTTATAAGAGCATACTAGTTGCTGTCTTTAATAATGTTAAATTTAACATCGTTATATACATTTATATAAAATAAAATATAATTATATCAAATAAAAAAATGTGAACTATTATATTTAAAAAAAAAAAAATTTAACATAAATTTAAATCTAAATTTAATCTAAATTAAAATTGGATTCTTTATGCTTGATATCAGTTTTATTTTAACAAATAAGTAACGAAAATTAAATTCATGTAATAAGGAAAACCACTGAAAATTAATGCAAATGAAAACTATGTAAAATAATAATAATAATGCCAATATAAATTAAAAATATTTTTTGAGATACAACTACAGTGTTCGTTTTATGAATATCGTATAGTATATTCGCTATTAAGAATACAGGAAATGAATTACATTTGGAGACAATAGATAGTGTTGTATAAAAAGAAAGGGCATTCCACGTAACAATGGACATATAAAGAAGCAATTTTAAAAGAACTAAAGAGGAAAAATATTTTAATGTTGAATATTTTTAAAAGAAAAGTAGCGTGGCGAGAAATAATGTCAATTATATCTAATATCACTTTGAATATAACAGTAATCATAAAACATTTGAAAATGTTATCAAGTGTTTTATTTGAATCGTATGAGGTCAATTCTAAGCGACTACGAAAATAAAGTTGATAGCGTATTATTTAAATTAGATGCTTACACTCAAAATGTGTTTTGTGTTTTCCCGTTTGGCCATATGAGTATATTTAAAAAAAAATATTATGAAATCGTATAATAATTCACTCATTTAGTTAAAATTGTATTATTAAATATACAAGATGTTTTTCGAGGGAGTGTTTTCCAATCGTTTCAAATAGACCGGTATTGAACGTAATTAATATTGCCCGATTCATGACGTGGGGTTTTCGAAGGGGAGTGTGTATATATGTAGGGGAAGTAAAGGCTTTAAAATTATAAACACCTAAATCATATGCATATATTGTGTACTGCGTATATTATATACAGTGTATTTATTAGTAAATTATATTGCAATCTTAATATTCTACAGTATAATTCATAGTAGGTACACATACTTATTGAATACAACAATACTTATGTTATGTATTGTTTAAGACATTTCAAAATACTTACTTGAGAAAGTCCTAAATAGATGGATACGGTTTCTGATATGTATAGAAATCGTCCGTCAGCAGCTAACGCAAATGCAAAACCGTCCAACGACTGCAAATAAAAATTAATGTTAAATAATAATAAAAAGATTGTATGATTAAAAGTCGCATATTTGATTACTGACTTGAAGTATGTGTGTGCCTTGGTGCTGCTCAAACAATTCCATGGCTATGGTACTTGGAGATCTATTTCGAGCCGAGGTTCCTGCAACATCAAACATAAATTATATTTTTCAAAGTTCTATATTTTCTGGTTAATTTTCTTAACTTGGATTTAGTATATTGCAGCCACTAGCCAGTTGGTATATTTTTTCATTAAACGCACAAAATCATGTCGTTTCCCTCAAATAAGAACTGCTCCCATACCCCCTACATAAATACGTTGGGTTTAATCAAAAAAAAAAAAAAAAGCCTATCGTAATCCTCTACTGAGTAAACATTTTCGTTCCCTAAGCACCCTCGCGACTTTCATTTGGAAACTTGGTCGTTTACTTTGTACAAACAGTCTGGTGTAATGTTGTGTTGGTATTAATAACATATCTCCCTTATTTATTAATCGATGCAATAATCGAACGAATGGTATAGTAACTGTATAAATATACAATTATTTCCAATATTTGGATTTGAAAAAAGCTGCTTAGTACGTTAATCGTGTATGTGCGAAAGAAAATTCATCTTCGTTTGTTAGACTGCAGTTCTAATATTGTATTTGAAAAATGCTTATGACACCATGTACCTATATCATATTCCAAATACTAATATTGCAACCTACCACCACTACTAGGAACCATAAAGTATTGCTGGAGTAGAATCGTCCCTAGGGACAACTACCACATGTGTTCCTGGCGGTGTCAACAATTATTTATTGTTATTTTTTCCAAGGGGAAAATGCCCAACTTTTAGAATATATGCTATGAGTGTGTCGAATACAATATGAAATTAGTTTTTGTAAATTATACTTCTAGATATTATTTTAATACCAGAAAAAAATACTACTTATTTCCTTTACTGTTTTGATTTGTTTATATTTCGGTGTATTAAAAAAGTGATTTTTACAATGAATCTAAATAATACTTTGATTTCACAAAAAGCACAGATAATTACTAATATTATTTATACTTGAACTGTATGTGATGTTTGTTATTTTTTGATGGATTATAACATTAAATTCTAAACATATCTATTTATTTAAATATGATTTTTGATTTTACATGTTATTTAAATTACATATAATTTATGATTCAAATTAAACATTATAAACATGGGAATTTGTTTAATATAAGAAATATTATGGAATAAGTAAACATTTAGACCGACTTACACTGGTGATCTTTCCCCGCTTGTTATTAAATCAGTTTTTTTGCTTTTTATTTTATTTTTTTATTCGGTTCTACACAAATAAATATACACACATAGAGTGGAGAAGTGCACCTTTGTTATCTAAATTAACTTAAGTTAGTAGCGTACGTGTGTGTTTAACAAATCCTGTCCCCCTATTTTGTGGGTGGCTGATTGAAACCGCAAAAATAAAAAGAGATGGGGAGAATGTTTAAAGTCCTCTCCTTGCCTTTAACTCGGTTAGCTCGAGGTTTATTCATGGGTTCCAGCAATCAGTCGGGTAGTGTTTTAAACTCTTCTCACCCCTAAGTTCCTCTTTGTAATGATAACAAGCCCCCAGGCACTCTTAATTCGCTTTAAAGCGATGTAGACGGGATTTGTTTGTTGAAAATATTATTTACATTATTATACCAGCAAATTATAATCAAATTTAGTGGTTATTGAGATATTGTCAACATGAAATAATTATGTTTGTTCTCAAACTACCAGTGGTGACAATTGTACCACGGGGCCAAAAAATTACAAACCTTATATAAGTGTTTAGTAAGCACGTTTTAAAACTGTATTTATTTTATCGATCTAATAACAGTGAATTGTACTATATGGTCAGGTGGACTAAAGTTAAAATGAAATACATTATGGTTTAATAATAATTAAAAATATTTATGTTTTTAGTATAAATTTATAAATTAATTATATTTTATAATAATTCTGTATTGTCAGGATATAATATAATATCACATTCAACTTTTACAATATATACATATCAGACATTTTTTAATGTTTAAATCATATTAAAAAACCTATTATTTATAATGCGCTTAATGTTTGAATAACATACTAGGTTATTTGAAAGTAACGCTTTGGAAAAATAAGAAAAATAATTATTTTTATTTTGAAAATAAAACTTGATATTGATACAATGAAACTAGCGTGTTTTGTACTACACAAGACGTAATGGAGGAAGGTGCATTTCGGTACACATATATAAATGTACAATAGTGATGGTGATAATGATGTTGATAGCATGTATAGAATTTTTGCTGGCAAGTGGTGTAATCAAAATAATTGCCGTAGCGGTGATACGATATAAATATTGATCGGATGATTGACCGTGGAGAGAGATGAGTTTGGCAGCCTAGCTATTGGACAATAGGCATGTGTTCTCTAGTCTCGTGCTGATAACCGTGGAAGGAATTGTCATTTTTTTTGAAGACACGAGTCACGAATTACTAACTGTCTCTTGTTCTTTTCGCTTCTTCGTCCTTGCCCCTTTATTTTTTCTACGCGCGAGCCATCTATTGTGTCACTGGACAAGAAAGCTCTGAATTATTACTATATAATATTGTTATATTATATATATATATATATATATATATATATATATATATATATACTGCGCGTGTACCACTGTCAAACGTCCCAGAGATATTTTCTCGTAGGTACTACACTCTACTACAGTTCATCGAATACAGAACAAAAATTTAAAAATAAATATAAAAATGTAAATGTAAAACCTTACTGCTTTTATAATTATTAGAAAATATTGTCTTATTTCTAAAACGGTTAATACCAATAAATGTTACATTTGAATAAATTTTAAATGGAACAATTAGACCTTATATAAAAGGTAGTTTTTTTTATAACGTATCAATTTATTGAGTACATTAATAAATTTATAAGTTGCACTTGAACGACAATGATATGCTTATTTTATTATCCGTTTCTCTCATAAGTAAAAAATAGTAAAACTATTTGGTAAAATCAATATATAATTGTAGGTTACAATTTTACAAGCCATTACTATTAGATAGTGGTATACAAATTACCTATAACTTTTCTAAATCAGTATTACTTCTCTTTAAATAATTTAATTGTCACATCACTTTTGAAATTTTTGTGATTTAAATAAATACTCTTGAAATAGTTAATATAACATTTCAAACGTTTTTCAATCATTTTTACTATATTAATTTCAATAATAACACGTTAAAATAAAGTAAAATATGTTTATAAACATATCCTATTTCCATAAGCAACAACGAAATCGTCTATGAATAATGTTTTTTTCAAACAGCGTAAATCGAATAAAATAAACTTAGTATCGAGAGTGGGCATATTTTTTGTTTCCATTAGTCATTCCCATTGTTGTCCGTTGAATTATTACGTGGTTTATGTTCCTGTTTTATATCAGTACTAAATAGGGTGTATCATGAATATTAAACGTTTTCCTTATAATTTCTATGTAAAATCATCGAGTCTTCGCAATTCTCGTGTGCAATATATGTACATGAAAATTAGAAAAATATAATATAGATAAATGAAGTAAAATGAGTGTATACGCACATATAACTTTTGCAGTATGTTTGAAAAATTCAAAGCATTTACAATAATGATTCGAAATGGAAACGTGCGTGTATTTATATATAATTATATAAATATGTACATTTTTTTAATGCTTTGAAAGTTATTTCAAAGTTTCTCATATTTTTGCAACATCCTGTACGTGAAAAGATACCGTGTAGGGTACAAGTGAGAAAAGTTGACGATCTTATGCGTGCAAGTCTGGTGACCATAGTCGGTCATGTGCAAATCACGTGGATTATATAGTTGACCCGGCGAACAGGCGACCAACGGAGAGAAAATAGATTTTCGGCGGGCGGAAAATTCGCGTTCACGAATCGGGTCGTTGCGGGCGGCACTCGGGCGGCACATGCGCAGGAAGCGATGACGTAGCAATTAAACCGTGCGCAAATCGAAATAATTATTATCATCATTACCATCGAAATGTGTGATCTTAGGAAATAAGTGAATTACACTCATAGTTATATGTTTTATTGACCACGTCTATTTTATTTATAGGGCCCGGATTTTACAGCACTAAAAAGAAATGATCAATCGTTACTTTATAACATGAAAAACCTTAAGATAAGCACGATAACATGCCTTAAGAACATAAAAATAGCGACAAAAAAACCAATTTATTTGAAATAGCTTTTAATCCCCCCCCCCGTTAACAATTTATAAAATTTGCATCTATCAAATAATTATTTATATATTAATACGAAAAACGAAACGGTAATGAAACGAGGATTTTTATACACTCCAGTCATAAACAATATTAATAAACATAAACAAACAATAACGAAAGTAATAGTTATACTACAACTATACATATACGAACAAAAAAAAAGGTACAAATGATGTAGAACCCCCGAGCCGTGATTATTATTATTATTATTACCGTTGCCGTCGCTTTTCCATCGGAAAACCTTACGTGTTCGCGCGCCGCCTCTGTCGTATGCAAATCTCGCCGTGACAAAGTGTTCGCTTGTATAATGTACGCAAATTTCATCGCGTCTACATACGCGCGTGCACTCACAATATGTGTACACCGTGCGCGACGCATACGTCACACGGGGACGTACGACCTCCTTGTTAATCTAATATATAACGCACCGCCGCCGCTAGCCCCCGGTTAAACAAATCGGCCGCCGTCACCCTCTTTTATGTCGTCGGCGGCGCGACGTTTAGCTAGTTAGATGCGTATTGTGCGCGCGCGCACGCGCGCGGTACACGGTCGTCGCGCGAAAGGCGTTATTATTACTATTATTACTACTATCGTCGATCGGAACACTACGCGCGGAGGCGTTGAGCACGCGCGCGCGTCCCAGTAGCGCCCGCGGGGCCCGTCAAATGAACCGAAAAATATTGCGACTCCCGTGTCACGCGTGTACCTCCGTAACGCCGGGCGTTTACCCGCTGCACCGGCGGTCCGCGCCGTACACGTCGTGCCCGTCCGTCCGCACTCGCGCTGAGTGCTCGCGCGTTTGCGTATAATTGTTATCCGTGTTATTATTGTATGCGTACGTACGCCGCTCGACTGGTGGGCGGGCGCGTGCTCGCCCCGAAGGGACCGGGTGCGTCGGTTCGCGATCAGTTTATCGACGTTCCGGAGCCCGTTCGCTGTATATCTTACCTGAAACGCGTAACGTCCGTGTCCAACGATTAACGGGGCGATACGAGGGGTACGATTTGTTGTTTTTTTTTTTTTATTTCCGTGCACGTGCAAACGGCATCATTGCGCTATTAGCTCTATATGGTGCCAATCGTGTGTTTATGGAACTGCGACGAACAATCTCGGCAATGGATTAAAAATCATTTATGAAAGAAAACTCCCGGTGAACGGGAATTTATGCTCTAAGATGTTGAACACTAATTTAGATGCATGTACTAAAACCGTAGGGATAATGATTGTTCGTGGTTTAAAAAAGTATTATAATACAGTTGAAACAAATTTGACTTTAAAATAAATTCGCGTTATTCGTTCACAGTAATCGATGAATAATATACACCGAACGAAAATCACGAGCTTAGAGATGAACAATTTTCTCCACATTAAAATTATTTTAAAATCATGGCAATACATATAGGAATTAAAGGACCAAATATACTGGTTTTCAAGCTAATACAGTAGTCCGAAGACATTGTTCGAGGATACATTTTTATTCGACTAACCAAAAATTGCCACGAAATGACTATCTAGTTCATTATATATATATACGTTGTCAGCCGCGAGCTAGTCCCGGCGGACACTCAATAATGGATAATTCGATAAACTTCGGATAGAGTAAACGAATTTACTTGACCGTTCGACGAGTGCATTTAAACGCGAAATCAAATTATATAGGGCTGGTAATGTTTTGATTGACATTTGTACGGTGGTTGTATAGTGGTCATCACCCTACACAAAATTATTTAGAGGAAGATTCTCTAGCCTGTAATGGTAGGTAGGACCGTCAAATGTGCTGGTAAATTGTGTGATTCATAAGATACAGAAAAAAAGAGAACTGTTTAAAGTGAGAAATTTGTTTTTGACCATGTTCATTATCGCGAAATTTATTTAACAGTATGTTGGAAAAGTTCGATACCTATCCTTACCATGTACCTCTGTACCTACGTAAATAATAAAAGTTGTTCGTTGTTAATTTAAATGAGTTTATTAAAAATAATAAAAAAAAAAATGTTGTGAAACCTAAAATATTTCATACCAATTTATTATTGAAATAACGTTCTGATAAATTTTTCTTAAATTTATTTTATTTTATGTATTATTAAATGAACAAAAATCTACTATAAATGTAAAATATGTTATACAGGGCGATTTATTATTAATGATTGAAAAGTATAATCGTGTTGTATCTTTCGAATTTAAAGCATTATGTATACTTAAGCCATTGGTGCAGTAAATCCTCTATTGAAGTTATAATTTCGTTAGACGATTTTATTATGTTTATTTCTTGTAGCGTAGCAAAATATATAAAAGGATAAAATATACTCATTTTTATTCATGGGCTTGAAGTTATTTACTCGAATAAAATAAAAATCGCATTGGGCGATGAATTGATGACAAAACGAATGTACAAAAATGTACAGAAATTGTTGTGTACATTTTATAACAAATACGAAAACACGCGTCGTGTTATTTAAAAATATAAATATTGTTTAATAAACAATTTTATCAGATAACATATAAGAAATTAAGACAGACATTTATAAATAACTTAAACCAAAAAGAACAAATTATCATATTTATATCAAACAATCAAAAATGCTGGAAATTATATGTTTAGTCCCTTTTTTTAAATTTCAAACAGATCTGCCCTTTAATTGAATGCCGGTCAAGTGTAAAAGTTATTTTTGTCATTCTTATTTCAACCCCAAAACTGTATTCGTGCACCCGGAAAAAACGCATTTACAATATGGTCGTCGGTGCATTTAAACTGAATCCGTCAAATTAGTGATTGTCAAAAGCAACATCCCCGACAAGTGCAGACATTACCCCACGAAAGACTAAACGATATTTTTAAAAGATCAAATACGTTATTCTCTAATTTATAGGATGTTTTCATTTAATTTAAAATATTTTGTAATATACCAAATGTAACAGTCTTAATGAGTATTTTTATGTACTATAATTTTTTATGATGGAAATAACAAAAAAAATTAACATAAATAATATTAATAATAATATAATTTTAATTTGAAATATTTAAAAATGAAATTATATATAACTGTACCTTTAAGATTTTTGGACGTGGACGGCGGTCCATCCCTTGTCCATGGTGGGTCACCATGACCCGAGAAATCTCTCAGTTTTAGGTATGATATGGTCAAACGTATAATGGATGCTTTATCTAATTGTGAAGTAATAGCTGCTGGCAGTGGCAGCATTTTGGCCAGTTCGTAGAACTCGTAGTTCTCTTTGCCCCTTCGTGACCGAGCTGCGTCTCTACTTTTTTCTTTTCTTAACTCCAGTATTCTGTAAGAAAAAAAACAAATAAATAAATAAATAAAAACCACGGTTTACGAGTATAAACAAAATTGCTTTAGAAAAAGTATTCACACATAATATCGATTAATGGGAATAATATATTTAGAAGAAGTTGTTACATTATAAGTCCAGAGTAACGATTAAAATGCATGAGCTGTCCAGAGTTTGTTTTTAATTATTAAACCACACACATACGTAGTCGTCTTCGTCAGTAATATTTATCGAGAAACCGGATGAAACCATGTATGGAAAGAACGGACGAACCTCTGAGCGTTATATTCGAGTCACACGCGTCAACGTACATCATATTGCACACACCGCGCGCCGGCTATTATTCTCCGGATTTGTCAACAATTCAAATTTACCGGTTTTTGATCGTATGTTATACATATTATTTTATCGAACGACAAGATATGGCGATAAGTCGTGGATAAATGTGTGAGTGTGTGTGTGAGTATGTTTTAGTGTACATATCCATATAACTATATAACGTCCGAGATACCAGATGGAACAAAAAGATATACAGAGCAAGAAAAAAGTATGTTTAAAAACTTGACCTTCACAAATTTTATAATTGCCAACTCGTATATAAATAATGCCGTCGTCTGTAAATCGGCTATAAACGCTAGTAGTCGACGGTGAATGTATATTAAAGTTAATATTTCTGAGAATATCAAAGTACTTATTTTTTTACTTGTGTTGCTCATATACTGTTGTATATTTGTTGAAAATTATTGTTAATTTGAACACAAGATTATGGGACGACAATATATTTTTTATTTATTAAAACCATTTCATGCACCGATAATCGCACAAGACGTTATCCTTATTTGGAGAAATTGACTGGAGTGGATTTATGAAGCATTGTCGTTAAGTTATCGCATTATTTTCAATTACTTCTATGAATTTTAGGAATTTATGAAGATTGATCGGGAAATAATAAATTTTAAGATATTATTTTATATATTGTACCTAAATATACATAATAGATACAATGTTGTAAAAAATACTCTTCAAAAGTATTTCAAGTAGGTATTTGAATATTTCAATTGAAAAGTATTAAAATATTCATTTAAACACCTTAGCAAGCTAATAAGTATTTAAATACAAATACAAATATATTCAAAAAAAATTTCAAATACTTTTAAATACATTTTTCTAAGCTTTGATGTTGTCAGATTCTTGATTACGACAAACATTACGACAAAATTACATTAATTTTTCGTGATTAGTGACTAGTGACTAACGTAATTAATTAATTTTCTCGATTATCAATGAATATCGATGGTCGGCACATCGTGTCGCATGTGAGTATGTGGGATACTGGGATTCGAGGTGTCGAATATTTTTTGTCGATAGCAAAAGTTATAATGTCACTTCGTTTCGTCGACGATAAGCAATTTTTTCAAAATCGAAAAATCAAACTAAAAATCTTGTTCGAAAATTTTATATTTAATATTTTTAAATATAAAATATAATAATAAATATTTAAATATTTAACAAGTATGGATATAGTATTTTTGGATATATTCTATTTTAAATATAAATAAGTAGAAAAATTTAAAAAAAGTAAAAATTAATAACTTCTTAGTTAGACGCGAACGTTCTTTTATAACTGTATGTAGTTAATTGTAATTTTTAATTTATATATTATTCAATATTAGATATGAATTATATACACATAATATTTATACAAATTAAATCGAATAAATTGAATATTTTATAATCGACTACGAGTATTACATGTATAATTGGATACCTTAATTAATCCAAAATAAAATTTAATAAGAATGAAGGTTGTTTGGCACGAGGTAGTGGCTAGTACTTATTTAATACATACACGTTTTTAAAACTTAAATCAATTTTTTTTTTTAATACATTATCGTGGTTGACCATCACCGAAGTTTTTAATATGATTAATGTAATAGAAGATCTAAATACGATAGCACAGCCAACATGTATGAACAGTGTATGTTGTCCAGAGACCATTGCGTAGACGACAATTGATATGTTTTTTTTTCATTATTTATTATTATTTTATGAACAATTGTTAATTCATATTATATTCTAACACGACCATTTTCGGTATAAAAAATCGTGAAATGATATAGGCTATGTTTTTTTTACACCGATTGTATCAGTTTTCTCACTAACAACCTGATCAGAATAGCAATAAATTTCCAACTTAGTACTGCAGATTGTGTCGAGAACTTGATAGTGATAGAGAAAAAAAAGGTTGTCAATGATCCATTAAAAAATAATAATAATAAGAATAATAACGATAAATGAGAAACTTATTATAAATTCCAACAAATAAATTGTGTATAGTTTTATGTCACAACGATGTATGATGAGGAGAAAAAATAAAATTTTAAACATAATCATTATTACGTCACGTCGGTTACCAATTATACAATATAAGATCCTTGTGTAGAAGTTATTAGAAGAAAATGGATTTAAATTAATAAGACTGTTTGTTTTTAAGGGGAAAATAATGTCTACCGATATCTGTCGATTTCCCAAGGGAAAGACTTGACCCATCGAATACCCTCTCCATACAATCAATTGCATCTGGCTCGAATACTGCGCGCGTTTAATCAAAAGTATACCGGAGGATATCATCTTCCTATATATCTTTTAAACGTATATATATATATACACATATGTATAAATATAAACGGGATAATTCTTCGTTATAAGTATAGATATTTTATAAATGTATATACTTTACTAATTAATAAAATATAATATTAGTTTCGAAAGGATAAAAAGATGATTTCAACGGCAATGTATTCACAATGATTTTGTATATGTATATATACAATACTATCAAGCATTACTTTGTTTAAAAAAAGCTTTAATTACGTCATAAATATACCTACTGTTAAATCTATTAATATACAATGAAAATGATTAAGTTAAGTAATAATTATAAAAAACCACATGAAATCATTTACGAGGTTTAATGTGTAGACAGACACGTTCCATTTAAGATAACATTACATTGTAGATATGAAATATACCACTACATCAATAACTAAAAACAAACCGTTGATTGTTGAACTGTAATTATTGCTGTATCTAAGCCTACTGGAAAAAAATAGAATATAAGCCATTTCGTAATTTATAAACGTGAAATCATTATACGTGTATTCCGTTTGATTTGCCGAATGATGATTGTTTCATATTAATCAAGCAAATAATGTAACGTGATTCCGCCCATTCGTACGATGCGGTTAAACCGTGAGGTATGCATTTGTTTTGGGCCATTTAGAAAACAACGTGGATAAATAAATCTATATCGCTATCGATTTTTTAGACCAGTATTGGTACGCGTAAACGTTGTTTCTTCCCGACGACTTGGAACCGACTGCGTTCGGGCAGACGACGAGCGTGCCGATAAACGAACGTGTGACGATGACGAATCGAGGTGCTCGATGACAGAGCACGGCGAACGCGGTGTGCTTTGGGATTCGACGGGTAGAGACGATCAAGTATTAACACCCGTCGCGACACTGCTACTGTTCGTTATGGAGTCCGAGGAATGACGCGATAATAATTCCATTGTCGTTGGCAGCCCTAGTCCGCGTTTCAAAGGCAAACGAAGTTAACGTTTACATACGAGAAACGACGCGTGTGCCGGTGCTACATTGATTGGCGGTGGAGGAAATAAAAACGTTAGTGTTTCAGAACGCGCGAGGGGGCAAGGTACATGGTGAGAAAATAGAAAGAATGAAAAAAAAAAAAGAAGGAAAAAAAGAGGAATTATCAATGACAACGGTTTCCCCTTGGCGTGTGCCAGCCACTTGCGTTCGTCTTCTTTTCCTTTACGAAGCAAATTGACCGAATTGCCCGACCAGAGGCGAAGGCGGCGGCGATGTTCCCGCGGGACCTAACCGACGGCGGCGGTGGCGGCCACTCGGCACTTTGGACGCCGCGCCAACACACACCGTGTTTATTAGATTACCAGTTCTCTTACGAAAAACATTTTCACTTTTACAGACGGACTTATACCAGACACATACATTTATATATACATGTGTGTATGTGAATGTGTGTGTGCGCGTGTTATAACATTTCTCTGTGAGCTCAACTTTCATGTATTGAATGACCGTCACTTCGAATATTCAAATTTCTGTTATCGCTATTGTTGTTAGTTTGAAACAATACAATACGATTGGTACTATATGGCTTTCGAAATGCAATATCATCAAGATCTGAATTTAGATTGGTTTGATTGTACTTTTTTTAAGTTTGACTTATTCGCAACGATTGCTTGAAAACAAATTGTTTATAAATGTTACTAATATTATAATATGATATACAATAGGTACATAAAATATTGCATTTACATATTGTCATACAATTTTCATCATTTTTTTCTTTATTTTAATGTTGTTAAATCACATAAAATAACACAATTTTTCTCTATATAATATACATATGCTTCTCCTCATTAAAATATTAACATTCAAATAAGTATAAAATCTATGATTTGGATGCACTCTGCACACCTTTCGTAGTCTTATATTCTAATCAATGAACTGGCAACAACACCCACGTTACAGCTGTTGAGTTCGATACATCTCAATTTCTTTCATATACCAACTAGAGCTATTGAGTAACAGTGATTAGCATCCTTAATTCGAATCATTTTTATGATTATACTCGATAAACTGTAATTAATTACAGAAATAGGTACGAATGTATAATTTGATTTCAAGTATAAGAAATTGTCTTAGTCATAGCTTTTTATTCCAGATATAACGTTATTTTATTCTCATTGTTTCCGTTTAGCTAATTTTGCGATTGTTTATTGTAATTTACCACAGTTTCTTATACACTAAAGTAAAAAATAACAATAACAATAATAATAGTAATAAAATTACTGGTAATCGTTTTAAGACTTTATTTCTAGTTTACCTTAATAATCAAATTGTTAACATCAAAATAAAAACATATGCAAAAAGTATTTTGAATGTCTTAAA